GTCATTAATTAGTGACGCTGATGTCTATTAAAATTATCATAAGCACAAAACACTGAAGGCAAACAGTTTCCATCAGGCAGAACTGAGTGGCTCTGAAATCACTTTTTACAAACAAGCAAAGTTTCAGTTTAAGATTTATTTGAACTTAGTTACAAGTTTAAGTTTAATAAAAACTTTAAACTCAGATTCACAAATGAGTTTCCTTTACTAAACTGCATCTGTAGGTCTCTGTTCATAAACATAAACTAGACAAAACTAATTTACTATAAAATGAAATGTGTTTGTATAAATTCAGAATAAAGACACGTCAGTCACAACTGCATATGAGTACATATTTCTATATTGTGGTCTGTTTACACAAAGTTAGGTTAGTTCATCATTTATGTTGAATAGACTCTCCCAGAATTTTACGCTGCTGCACTGATGTTGAACCGTGTGCTGCACTGGGTCGGTATGACCAACAGGTCAAAACAAGCGCAAAACAAAGTGACCGCTGTGCCCTGATTGGTGTTTTTGCTTTGCGCTTCTTTCGTTTTGACATGTTATGTTTTTATGCACACATAAACCAAAAGGAACGACAGATTCCTCATAATGTAGAGGAGTAAAAAGTGAGATATTAGACTTTGAAATGTAGTGGAGTGAAAGTAAAAAGTCACCAAAAATGGAAAAACTTCAGTAAAGTACAGATACAGGAAAAACTACTTAAGTACAGAAACGAATTACATTTACTTCGTTACTGTCCACCACTGTTTCTGTTCCATAGAGACACGCAGAATATATGCCAAAAACGAAAAACAAACCCCCATTACATTGTTTTTATGTTGCTTGACCTCTTTACTGTAAAACGATGCCTGCTGGATAACATATGGATCGTTTAATGGTGTCTGATATGATTAAACACATCTTATTATAAACACTGTTATTATTGTTGCTATTTATTTTAATATTAATTTATTTAAATGTGTCAGGGAACAATATTTTCATTTATGTTTAATGCTCGTATTGCACAGCGTACAATGCGCATGTATTCAGAGTTCAGTTATGTTTTTCTCTTCATTGAGAAAAAACAAACAAGTTCCATAAAAACCTTTTATTATGTAACATGAAGCATATATGAGTAATATTTGACACCCATATATGGATAATGCTTTATGTCATATATTGTTAAATATGTGTGTTACACATTTAGGTTTTTTGTGTTGATATATATTTGTATATGTTCATATGTGGCTTATATAAGTTGGATATCCATATATGATAATACATGTGATATGTAACATTTTTGCTTTGCAAGCTTTGCATGGCTAGCTGATTTAGCTCACTGAGGCTAACGTTCACATTTAAACCTGGAAATAAACAACAGAATGTTTTAGATTTAAAACAAAAAAGTTCTAATAATTAAAATGAGGAAGAAACATTTGAAATTCTGCTCCGTGTTTAAATTAAAGCATATTTGTGGAGTGGATGATGTTGAGTGTTTGTGCTGAAAGGCCAGAGTGTTTTAGTCTGATCTCTCAGGTGGGTCTGATCTGCTGAGCAGAGGATTTTGATCAACCTTTGAGTCCGTGCAGCTCGAGTGCTCACTGTCATTACAGCAAAAGAGGGACACCCCACCAAATACTGAGAAATTCTGAGTGAACAGTAGAATCTTTAAAACTTTAACAGGAATTTCTTAGTATTTGGTGGTGTGTCCCTCTTTTGCTTTAATGATAGTGTGGCCTTGAGCTTCATGGACTGCACAAGTTAGCAGGCAGCCAACGCTGGCTACTCCAGCACTGACTGTCTGCTAACTCACTCACTATAGGGGCACTTCAACATGGTGAGCCTTTAACATGGTGGTGGTAGTATGAGGGGAGACTGGCTGAGGGAGGGGGGAGAACTCTGAGAACCTGCGCTGGAGTTCTGAACAGCTTCTGCCTGTATCTAGAAGGCCGGACCCCCTCATAGCTGTAGTAGGACCGATGTAGGACTGAGGAACTTTCTTACGCTGTTCTTTTTGTATTTTGTATTTAGAATCTTATAGTTTATTTATTTTATTGATTGCTTTATTGAGAGAGAGAGAGATAGGGATAGTGGATAGAGAGAAACAAAGAAAAGAGGAGAGAGAGACAGAGAGAGACAGAATAAAGGGGAAGAGGGAGAGAGAGAGAGACAGAAAAAAGGGGAAGAGGGAGAGAGAGAGAGAGAGAGAGACAGAAAAAAGGGGAAGAGGGAGAGAGAGAGAGAGAGAGAGACAGAAAAAAGGGGAAGAGGGAGAGAGGGAGACAGAGAGAGACAGAATAAAGGGGAAGAGGGAGAGAGAGAGAGAGACAGAAAAAAGGGGAAGAGGGAGAGAGAGAGAGAGACAGAGAGAGACAGAATAAAGGGGAAGAGGGAGAGAGAGAGAGAGACAGATAAAAGAGGAAGAGGGAGAGAGAGAGAGAGACAGAAAGAGACAGATAAAAGGGGAAGAGGGAGAGTGAGAGAGAGAGAGACAGAAAAAAGGGGAAGAGGGAGAGAGAGAGAGAGAGAGAGAGAGACAGAAAAAGGGGAAGAGGGAGAGAGAGAGAGAGAGAGACAGAGAGAGACAGAAAGAGACAGATAAAAGGGCAAGAGGGAGAGAGAGAGAGAGAGAGAGACAGATAAAAGGGGAAGAGGGAGAGAGAGAGAGAGACAGAGAGAGAGAGAGAGACAGAGAGGTAGTTTAGCATCATGTTAATTTTTATTGTTCATCTTCCTCTTTATTCTTTGTCCTGTCTGTTAAAGCTTTTCTGATTTATTAATGTTTAATATTAATTTATTAATTAATCACTCAAACTGCTTTAGAGTTTCATTATATACAGCTGAATGCAAATGTCTGAACACCCCAATCAAACGACGTGTATGTGTTGATATTCTGAGTGTAAATAGTTTCAGATCCTCTACAGAGACTCACTACTGTACACTGTAATACACCCTTTACTGTCTATTCACTGAATTCATCACTGAGGGGGAAAATAAAATATAAACCGTGCCAAAACTTTTGCACATGACTGTTCACGGTGAAGCACACTGAGCTCATGTCTGGGTATGAAAAGTGCTGTAGAAATATTTTAATAGCAATAATGATCACTATTATTACTATAATAATCCTACTACTACTAAGAATAATGATAATAATAATAACAGTTATTATTATTAGTAGTATTGTTATTATTTTTTTATGGAGACTTTAATTCTCATGAAGGGTCTAAACAGTTCTCAGCAGGCCTGGCGGTTCTTTAAGCTGTTATTTTTGCTCCAGTATGTAATTAGCAGAGATGAATGGTCAGCACGGTGCAGTAATCGGTCATTTTAACTACCGATCAATGCATAGAGTGAAACCTGCTTAAGTGCAGCGCTGATCTCGGCTCAGACAGAGAGAAAGCAGTCCAGTCTCGCAGTTTACGGCCTTAGAAAAGCAGCGCAGAGTCGAGAAACAGCTGCACTAGTGCTTTTACACCTGACCTCAGCTGAGGCCTTCATACAGTACTGAGGAGACGACGTAGATGATGGAGGGAGGAACTGAGAACAACCAGCACAAAACAACACATATAAATAAAACGATAACACTGCAGAGGTGTGAGACAAACACATTAACACTTCTACAAGCATTATTTACTCTGAGGGAGCCGCTACTGTATATAGATCAATATTCAGGATTAGGCAAAATACATTGAAAGAGTAGTAATGATCAGTTATTAATCTCTGTGTTACTGAGCTCTGCTAAAGCCTGAGTAGACTGATAAATCAATGTGATCAGTTATTAATCTCAGCGTTACTGAGCTCTGCTAAAGCCTGAGTAGACTGATAAATCAATGTGATCAGGTATGCTTTAGCAGAGCTCAGTAACGCTGAGATTAATAATCGATCACGTTGATTTATCAGTCTACTCAGGCTTTAGCAGAGCTCAGTAACGCTGAGATTAATAATCGATCACGTTGATTTATCAGTCTACTCAGGCTTTAGCATAGCTCAGTAGGGTACGTATATATATATATATATATATATATATATATATATATATATATATATATATATATGTATAAATTTAAATATGACTTATTGACATTTTATTATTTTGCTTTAATCTCTCTTTAAGGCACTTTTTGAACTTGTGTCAAAATCAAGTTTAATGTCAGTTCGTCTCATAACAGCCATGCGTTGCTACATTTAACATGTAAGAGCAGCAAAAAAGCAGATAATAAACACAGTAAACAGAGTAAACACAGTAAACTGACTGTACACAACATTTCGAAACAAACTATACAAAACACCTATTAATGTCCCACAGTTCATTGTTTTCCCACTGGTGTTCAATCACGATATTTATGCATGTTTATGGACTAAAAACATTCATAATTAATTTCTACATGATCATTTTCCAGCTTCTCTTCATCCCTGTTTGTGTTACTGTGCCTTTAAGACTGATACACGTGCAAATAATAATAATGGTGCAGAAAACTGTCCTGTTTAAGTTTATCAAGCTATTTTATTCAAATAAATATATATATTTTTCTATGATATGGGTTCAAAGGACAGTATATACTCATTATTTTTAATATTATTATTATATTATAAAGTATTATTATCATAGATGTTTAATTTTTTCCCTCAAATTGATAAAATACAGCTATTATATGGGTCCATGGGCCAGTATAACATTATTATTATTATTATTATTATTATTATTATTGTTATTATTATTATTATTTTGTAATGTACTGCTGGTGAATATGAATCACCACTAACTAATCCAAGGCGGGATTAGGCGGAATACGGGCGGGGAAAAAAAAAAATCTTTGACGTCAGTTGCCATGGCAGCACACCCTCAAAACTCCGCCTCTTCCCTCCCCCACTAAGCCCCACCCCCTTCTCCCCCTCCATCCTTGCACAATGGTACAGCCTCCAGCATCAGCGGCGGAGCGAGCAGCAGAGATCCAGCCTCTCTCTCTCTCTCACTCTCTCTCTCCCTCCGTCTCTCTCTCAGTCTTTCTTTTTTTCTTCTTTTTAATCGTCGTCTCTTTGTTTTGCGCCCGTTTTCCCACCGTCATTTCGTTTTTTAAACCCCCCAGTCCCCCCCACCCTCCTCGCCTCTCCGTCATGGTCTCTCCGCGAAGCCCGTCGGGATGTTCTGAGTGAGCGGGACTCGGGCATCGTCAGGCCGGCGCGGAATGGTAGGTGTCTCGGCGCGGGGACGGTGGATGCTGGAAGCCGCTGGAGGGGTGGGGTTGGGCGGGGTGGGGAGCTGTGGAGAGCCCTGTCTCCCCTCCGAGAGCCAAACGCAGCGAATGGTTCCACACTGGAGAGGAGGGGGGCGTTGTTTTGCCTCTGTGGTCCAGAGGGCATCAGGTCTGCATTACTGACCACAGCATCATTTCAGCACTACACGCTTCAAAAGATGCTTCTTCAGGGGTTCTTTAGTGATGGAAATGGTTCTATTTAGAACCTTAAGCTCTGTATACATCCACTGGCAAGCTTAAATGGTTCTTTACATGGTGAAATCATTCCTCAGATTGATGGAGAATGTGTTGTGTGTGGTTCTGTATAGAACCCATGGTATATAGAACCATTTGCATGCTTAAAGGGTGCTCTGCATGGTGAGATGGTGCTTCAGAGTGAAGGAGAATGTGTTGTACTTGGTTCTGTGTAGAACCTAGTTCTGTATAGCACCAAGAAAGGGTTCTGCTATTGTTACTCTGTCCAGCTTGTAACAGAAGAACCCTTTTTAGTGCTGTGTAGAACCATACGTAACACATTCTCCATGCAAAGAAACATTTAAGCATGCAAACGGTTCAATATGGAACTCATGGCTCTAAACAGAACCAATGCCTTCACTAAAGAACCCTTGAAGAACCATCGTTTTCAAGTGGACAGTGAGAGCCTTTAAGTGTGTCAGGTGTTTGCATGCGAATGGAACGAGATACATCAGCGCAGTTTGTCGATAATTGATGATCAATGTATTCAGAGGTATTTTATTGTATTGACTATGTTTAAAGCAGCCTGAGGGGTCTAACGTTTACAGCGCCGCTGCGTTTAATCCCAGATGAGCCGCTGTGCTGAAGGTGACTGCGGAGGCATGATGCTGTTGTGAAACGCTGAGGCCGTCCTGCTTCCTCTGCATCCTCTGCGTCCTCTTCAGCTGTGTGTGTTTATCAGGGCAGCCCTCCGCTCTCCGCTCTCTTTCTCCCTCTTTCCTCCCAGAATAGCCTCGTCAGGAGCGCAGAGAGTCTGTTTTTTGGAACGGACGTGAATTTGTTGGTAAAAAAAATGTCCTATAAAGCAGAATTTGATTGTCGGGCCTGATTTGGCTGGAAAGAATTGGCTTCCGTGTCGAGCGCTGCTTCATACTCAGCACTGTTTGGCTAATTTTGGTGATAATCATCTGCTTAGTATAATAATGCATGTGCTCTCCTCACCAGAGGAAGGCAGTTGGTGTTTTTTTGGTTCTAAACTTTGCTGCTGCGAACAGATGCAGTTCGCAGCGCTTTTCTGAAAATGGGCCAATCCCTGCTGGGACTCTGCCCGAGTCTGCCAATGGCTGGGCTGAATGCAAAGCCAGCCTTAAGGAAACAGGACACAATGGCGTGTATTCTCTGTGCATTCATCTCATGTACATCTAGATGGACCTGCTGCATTTTGTCTTGATGAGATCAATGCGGTGAAGGTCAGATTAAACCACACGTGTGCTGAACAGTGTGCATGTGCAGGCCTGCAGCGATAGCTCCTCTCACATGCAAGCAACACGCAACGATCTCCAGCCCGGGGACCCGTCTGCACCAATCGATAGAGGCACAGGCGTTCGGTACGGCCTCCAGATCTTTAGATGTGGACTGTTTCACTGTGACGTGCTTCGCTGTTATGCTTGCTAATACCTCAGAGTCAGTGTGGTCAGGGGCTAGGGCTGTTTGAACCATTGATACAGCGATATATCGCCAGTAAACTAGGGCTGGACCCGAATATTGGACTATTTGGATATACATTCAATGGGTACGTTTTTAATTTTGGGATTTGTTTTTTTGGTTCTTTTGGCTAAATGTAACTAATCAATAAGGGCGATACTGTAACGTTTGGGAGAAACTTAGGCCCAGTCCCATCTCTTATTTTTACCCCTACCCCTTGTTTTTGAGTGTCACCCTGGAACTGAGTTACAGGGTAGTGGTTGAAATCTTCCTCTGAAATGGGACCCTCAAATAAAAACAGCATCACTTCATTAACAGCTACCAGTGCTGCTCTGTAGGCGACCCTGCCAGTCTGCAGTGACAGCAGAGGAGGGTAAAGTTCAGCTCCTCACTGCTGGGCTTTAGTTACATTTAGGACATCATATGATCTTCAAAGAGGGGGGCAATTATTTATTATCACCCACCCCTAATTCTTCAGTGATATGAAGCTGAAGTCAGATATTCACCAGCTTCTTGTTCAGATTGTCCTGTTCCACCTTAAATGGAGCAGCAGTTTAAGGTGGAGCGGGAAGCTTAGCTACCGAGACGTCAGCACTACTAGTGATTTTTGTGCTTGTTATGAATAAAAGGATCAAAATACACTGAATCAAAAATAATACGATGGTTATTCAGATTTTTTAACAGAGAAAATTCTCACATTTGTGGGTTTCTTTGGTCTCTTGTTCTTCATCTCGCCAGTTTTCCTTTTTTTTCCTTCTCATATCTCTCTGTTTGGAGTCTCTGAAAAACCTCCATTTGGAGGATCATGTAGCCCCAATGCTTCACTCTTAAAGAAAGATCTGCAGGAGTCTTTTGTAAAGGGAATGTTTCTTTTTAGATCCATGAGTTCTATATAGAACCATTTCACCATTTCAGCCTAAATGGCTCTTTTCATGGTGAAATGGTTCTTCAGGTTGATGGAGAATGTGTTATATATGGTTCTATATGGAACCTTTTGAAAATGATTCTATGTGGCACCAAGAAGGGTTTACGATGTAAAGCTTGTAACAGCAGAAGAACCCTTTTTGGTGCTGAACCATGCAACCTCAGTCCAGTTCTCCATCCATCTGAAGAACCTTTCACCCTGCAGAGAACCATGTAAGAATGAAATGGTCCTATATAGAACCATTCCCTTTACTAAAGAACCCTTGAAAAACTTAATGAGTCTATAGAACCATGAGCACTTAAAGAATCCTTAGCATGATTAAAGGTTTCTTTGCATTGTGAAAAGCGTTCTTCAGATTGATGGAGAATGTGATAGGTTCTGTGTGGAACCTCTTTGAAAATGGTTCTATGTAGCACCATAAAGGGTTCTTCTTTTGTTACAAGCTTGACATTGAAATCCTAAAGAACCATCCTTTTAAAGAGTCTACAGTTACAGTATAATCTCTCGTTCTGCCAGCGTACACGCCAAAAACATTAGAATTAGATACGGAGCTAACAAACAAACAAACATTACACAGTAATAAACAGACTCAGCGCCACCTGCTGAACGTGTTGGAGAACCGAGTTAGGAGGTAGAACTGGTTTTGTCCTCTTAATCCTCCTGATGTGTCAGTAAACACGTTTACTGCTTTATTTTATTTACATTTATTCACCTCAGTCTAACCCACTGTTCACGTTCTGACTGCTGCAGCGAAATGACTGAGTCTAACAACTGTACAGAATTATTACAGTCATCTTAAATCATCTCAAATAATTGCGATTAGATGATTATGTAATAATTATGACCGGCCTATTTATACTCCTGAGGCAAGACAGCCGAGGAGGAAAGAGATGAGACACAGAGATGGTGAATAAAACGAGGGGAAGCTCTATCAGTGACCTTTGGGGTCCAAGGTCACTCCTAATATTTGGCCTTCCTCTGTTTGTACGTGTACGTGAAGGCAGTGATGAGAGATGCGTCAGTGTGAGCGATTAAAGAGGCCGGGGCTCCTTTAAAGGTGCAGTGTGGGAGATTTAGAGGGATCTGTTAGCAGAAACAGAACATAGTAACAAACCCATGTTCTCATTAGTGTTTAATCACCTGTAACTGTGACTCGTTGTGTTGTCGTTATCTTAGAAAGAGCCCTTCATATCTACAGAGAGCAGCTCTATAACAGAGGCTGCCGCCGCCATGTTTCTACAGTAGCCCAAAACCATAGGTACAAATACTGGATGCCACGTTGTCTGCTGTTCTCTATCTGAGGCGATACGTCTGCGCGTCCGCCATGTTGGAGAGGTCAAGATCCACTTGTAAACAAATACACTTGAGATGATGAGTTCTCAATACACGCCCAACGTGTACTGTGATGCCAATGATGTGCTAATCCTTGGACACAGATTACTCTACGTTGTACTGCTGGTTAGACGTCCGGAGCCGCAGACACATCAGCAAAACCATCAGTGTGTGATTCACTTCTAATCTTAATGCACATAAAAATTAAATAAACCCCCCAAAACACAGTAAGAAGGACGAGGCTGAACTCGGCTTCCTGTTCGCCAGCTACTTATTCAGATTTTCCAATTCTACCTTAAATGGTGCAGCAGTTACATTCTCTTGCCTGAGGCTTCACCATTTAAGGTGGAACGGGAAAATGTAAATAAGAAGCTGTAACTTCCCTGCAGTGCTTACACAGCATTAATCATTGTAAATAAATGAATATAACTACATCAGGGTAAGATCTTCTGTGTAGCTCATTAAATGAAATAAGCTTCATATAAAACCAGAGGAAAAACAATCACATCAATGAGTTCTCTGGGCTTCACCAACCACACGGCCATATCTACACAAACACCACACAAACACTGCGTTCCCTCCGTTATATAATCCTGTCCCACTTTCTGAGTGTGATATTCTTGAAACAGTGTAATTGTGGACAGTATCTTTCTTAAACCACCGCTCTGTAATGGTACTGAATGCAGTCCAGCAGCGATGTTGACCGAGCCAAAATGGTGACGCCGTTGACGTGCCTGGCTGAATCCAACATGGCATCTATGTATGTATATCTATGCCCAGACAGGACAAACCAGACACTGGCTCTAGAGGGCGCCTTTCACGCTTTTACGCTGAAGCTGCAGCTCTATTTTGGTGGTGCTGTAGCTCCGATTGGAAGACATAGAAAGAAGAACAATCGGTTGTTGCTGCCGGTGCTGCTGATCATTCTGTGTTATGTTTCAGAACCCAAATTTTGACAAACAGAGGATCAGACTTACTATTTATCACAGGAAAAGTGAGGGAGGGTGAATCTTCACCG